AAGACAGTGATTATGTATGAGTGATGGTGAAAGTGTTAACCATTGACTGTTTTCGACATGTTTAAAAACGTCTTACGAGCCAATGTTTCTGACGTTTTAATACTTAATAATTCTAGCGGCTTCAAATCAAGCGGGAGAAAGCTGGTAGGCCCACATGTGACAGAATGGGTCTGTGTGGTCAGTGGGGCACCACTAAAAAAAAATCCTGCAGCACACCAAATTTCGTAATGAGAAAAAAAAAAACTCTGATCGTTTTTTTTAATAAAACGCCGACTTGAGGTGTATTTTCGTTAGTATTTATCTTTGTATTCGCGTTTTCATGGTCTTAGGTGATAAATGGAAACATATTTCAGAAATAGATATGGGTTTTCATTACTTTGACGATTGAAAACGACCTTGAAACTGAGCTCAAAATAGCGGAAATGTTCGTTTTTACCAATGTTCAGGAGTAATAAATCACACCACACGTCCAATACACGTCAACTGGGGAGTCTAATATTTTTTCACTAGTGCACTGATTTTTTTATATACCCTTTTTACAATAAAGCAAATAGTCTGCATAACAGTAAATTTTGTATTTTTTTGTATGAATAAAAATCAAAATAGAAAGCAATAACATATAAGAGGGGCCCAGAGATGTGACTAATGAACAGGGATAAAGTTATTTTAGTGCCACGAAAAATTACCTTGTTTATTCTGACCCTATTTTGAAATTGGCTCTTTTTTTTGTTTGGGTGAAATTGGCCAAATTGCCAATTTCTGACCACCATATTGGGTAGTCCACATTAGTAAATGGGAGGTTTCTTGTACTCAACTGAGAGATTAAAATGGAGGTTCTAAAGAAATAGCTATGAGTTTGGTCAACTGGAACAATGAAAAATTGGCTGAAAATAGGGGTCAAAAGTCGGCCCAAATCGCGATTTCGCATATTTTCGCCCAGACCGCTAACTTCGCGGGAGCAAAATTCCATGAGTTTTCGACCAAATTTCGAACTTTTGGTGTCATTACCATCGGGAAAAGATTCTCTATCATTTCATAAGAAAAATAATTTTTTTTTTTTTTCAAAAATTGAGCGACATAGAATGACAGTTTCAGAAAGGGGCCTGAAACAGTCAAAGGGTTAAATGATGAAAGTATTTTCTTTTTGGGAATTTTTTTTCTTTTTGGGTCAACCTGCCTCAGTTGGAGACGACTGATGTGTTAAAAAAAAAAAAAAGAATTACAAAAGAAGAAAAATACTAATTATAAAAAATAAAACTGGTATTACACTAAAAAGGATGATTATGAAAAAGAGACTATGTCTAGAATAAAAATTATGATTTAATTACTTTAATATAATATTAAAACTAGATATCAAATTTAGCATCTGATATTTCACGATGTCCAAACATAAACTACTAACAATAGACAATAAAAAATAATGTATGCAGTTCTATATAAATCTGCAGGGGAAGGAGAGTGAGGTAGGGATCAGCCTAGAACAGGTTGGAGTGGGGGGGGGGGTAAAGGAGGATTTGTGGGTGAAGGGCTTGGACTTGCAGCAAGAGTGCGTGAGCGTGTTAGATAGGAGTGAATAGAGGCGAATGGTTTTTGGGATTTGATGAGCTGTTGGAGTATGAGCAGGGTAATATTTAGTGAAGGGATTTAGGGGAACCTATTAGCTAGACTTGAGCCCTGGAAATGGGAAGTACAAGCCTGCACTTTAAAGGAGGGTTTCGGGTATTGGCAGTTTGGAAGGATATCTAAACGGGTTTAATCTGAGCGCCTCTGCAAAGACAGTGATTATGTAGAGTGATGGTGAAAAATGTTGAATGATGTTGAAAATTTTTCTTTCTGGGGTTTTCTTTCTTTTTGGGTCACCCTGCTTCAGTGGGAAACAGCCGACGTGTTAAAAAAAAAAAATTCTCTATTAAACAAACTGAATTTGTATTAAGTTTAAATAACTGAGGTAGTGTTACTTATAAGTTGATGTGGGGATTGAAATCTCTAGTATCTTCTATAAAGGCAAAAATAGTTGTGGGGGTTAAAAAAAATTAATACACAGTTTAAATCTATGTTAAACTGATAGTCTGCTTTTTTTTTTTGTGAGATGTATGTTCGGGTGAGATATAAGCGACTATTGGCAGAAAGGTGGGCTAGTGCAAAGATGAGTAGTGGGGGGGTTGAAGAGGGTTGGAATATTTTTAAAATGCGTATTAGAATGTGGGCAGAAGTTTGTGGTTATAGGAGGGTGGGGGCAGGAGGAAAGGGAGTGTTTGGGTGGGAATGATGAAGTAAAGGGTGTGATAAAAGAAAAAAGGTAGCTTATATGAAGGTTTTTACAAAGCAGAAGTGTTATAAGAAGAGCCGAGTATAGGAGAGAAAAAAAGGAAAAAGAGAGTGGTGAGAGAGTGCAAAAGGAGAGCAGATGATAGAGTGGGAGAGGCACTGTCAAAAAATTTTAATGAAAATAAGAAAAAATTTGGAGTGAGTTAAACAAGTTAAGAAAGCCTAGGGAAAATATGGATTTGTCAGTTAAAACAGAGTAGGGGAGTTATTTAGAGGGGGAGATTGGAGGTTTTGGGGTAGATGGCGAGAATATTTTGAGGAACTTTAAATGTTAAGGAAGAAACAGAGGCAGTATTTCATGCACTGGTCAGGGAGGTATACCATCTTTTAGGAGTGAAGAAGAGCAGAATGTAAGTGTGGGGGAGGTACGGAGGCATTACGTAAAATGAAAGGGGGTAAAGCAGCTGGAACTGATGGGATCATGACAGAAATGTTAAAAGCAGGGGGGATATAGTTTTGGGAGTGGTTGGTACTTTGTTTAATAAATGTATGAAAGGGGGGAAAGGGTACCTAGGATTGGGGGAGAGCATGTATAGTCCCCTTTATAAAAAGGGGAAAGGGGACAAAAGAGACTGTAAAAATTATAGAGGAATAAGCTTTTTTGAGTATACCAGGAAAAGTGTATGGTAGGGTTATAATTGAAAGAATTAGGGGTAAGACAGAATGTGGGATTGCGGATGAGCAAGGAGGTTTCAGAGGGGGTAGGGGATGTGTAGATCAAGTGTTTACATTGAAGCATATATTGAACAGTATTTAGAAAAGGTAGAGAATTTTTTAATTGCATTTATGGATTTAGAAAAGGCATATGATAGAGTGGATAGAGGAGCAATGTGGCAGATGTTGCAAGTATATGGAATAGGTGGTAAGTTTATTAAATGCTGTAAAGAGTTTTTATGAGGATATGAGGCTCAGGTTAGGGTGTGTAGAAGAGAGGGAGACTACTTCCCGGTAAAAGTGGGTCTTAGACAGGGATGTGTAATGTCACCATGGTTGTTTAATTTAAAATTTATAGATGGGGGTTTTAAAGGAAGTAATGCTAGGGTGTTCGGGAGAGGGGTGGGATTAAATTTTTGGGGAATCAAATTCAAAATGGAATGACCCCAGTTACTTTTGCTGATGATAAATGTGCTTATGGGAGATTCTAAAGAAAAATTGCAAAGGTTAGTGGATGATTGGGAATGTGTGTAAAGGTAGAAAGTTGAAAGTGAACATAGAAAAAAGTAAGGTGATGAGGGTGTCAAATGATTTTGATAAAGAAAAAAATTTGGGTATCAAATTGGGGAGGAGGAGTTATGGAAGAAGTGAATGTTTTTCAGATACTTGGGAGTTTGACGTGTCGGCGGATGGATTTAGAAGGATGAGGTTTAATCATAGAATTGATGAGGGAAAAAAGGTGAGTGGTGCTTTGAGGGATATGTGGGGTCAAAAAAACGTTATCTATGGAGGCAAAGAAGGGAATGTATGAAAGTATAGTAGTACCAACACTCTTATATGGGTGTGAAGCTTGGGTGGTAAATGCAGTAGCGAGGAGACGGTTGGAGCAGTGGAGATGTCCTGTTTAAGGGCAATGTGTGGTGTAAATATTATGCAGAAAATTCGGAGTGTGGAAATTAGGAGAAGGTGTGGAGTTAATAAAAGTATTAGTCAGAGGGCAGAAGAGGGGTTGTTGAGGTGTTTGGTCATTTAGAGAGAATGGATCAAAGTAGAATGACATGGAAAGCATATAAATCTATAGGGAAGGAAGGCGGGGTAGGGGTCGTCCTCGAAAGTGTTGGAGAGAGGGGGTAAAGGAGTTTTGTGGGCAAGGGGCTTGGACTTCCAGCAAGCGTGCGTGAGCATGTTAGATAGGAGTGAATGGAGACGAATGGTACTTGGGACCTGACGATCTGTTGGAGTGTGAGCAGGGTAATATTTAGTGAAGGGATTCAGGGAAACCGGTTATTTTCATATAGTCGGACTTGAGTCCTGAAATGGGAAGTACAATGGCGTGCACTTTAAAGGAGGGGTTTGGGATATTGGCAGTTTGGAGGGATATGTTGTGTATCTTATATGTGTATGCTTCTAGACTGTTGTATTCTGAGCACCTCTGCAAAAACAGTGATAATGTGGCGAGTATGGTGAAAGTGTTGAATGATGATGAAAGTATTTTCTTTTTGGGGATTTTCTTTCTTTTTTGGGTCACCCATGCCTCGTGGGAGACGGCCGACTTGTTGAAAAAAAAAAAAAAATGTGAAATTCTCCATGGGAAGTGGAACAGAATTCTTCTTCCATAACCTGTGTGTGTCGTAAGAGGCGACTAAAAATGCTGGGAGCAAGGGGCTAGTAACCCCTTCTCCCGTATACATTAAAAAAGTTAAAATGAGAAACTTTTGTTTTTCTTTTTGGGTCACCCTGCCTCTGTGGGATATGGCTGGTTTGTTGAAAGATGATGTGAAATTGATACTTTTTATTTTTTATAAAGATGTATGAGATAATGTTGAATACACATTCAGTAACTTGATTCACAAGATCAGCAAGACTTGAATACACGTTCAGTTCCTTGATTTTATTGCAGGTTCTGATTTAGGGCTGTGGGATTTTGTTCTTATTTTATTGGTCATTAATTTATTGATCATTAATTTATTGTATTTATGTATCATTTGCCATTTTCATAATAGGCTTTTTGATAACAGATGGGACTAGTCCTAAACGCAGTAGTGATGGTGTGTCAGTGGCTCCTCCACTCACTCGGCGGCAGGCACAAGTCAAGGTGCTCGAGCTGACACACATTGAGAGAGAATATGAACTTGTTCATGCCAGACTGAAAATGGTCAAAACACAGCCAGATATTCCATCATCAGGTGAGCATATGGTGTTTTTTTTCCAAAGTTTTCAACAGTTATAAAACTCATAGGTTACTCACCATACACAGGATGTACCACTTCCTCTTCCCTAAACCTTTTTCTTATTTCATTCACTGTTATTACTTATTAAGATTCAGCATTGACTTAATATACCCATTATACTACTTAATGCCTTGAACCCATTGCTTTTACCAATTGTATTGGCTCTGTCATCTAATTTCTTTACTGCTCTGCATAATCATAACGTCACTTTGATCCCTAGTATATTTCTGCTGCCTACGACATCCTCACCATAGCTTTCAAATACTACACACTTGCCTCAACATTGGCACAATTATTCTCTGATAAATTCTAGATTTTGCATTCTTGCATAATTTCTCCCTTTCTACAGACTTCAACAATCCAGCTACCTTCTTTTTCTCATATATTTCGTGATTCACTAACCCATTCCCAAAATATCTAAATGCATTCACTACCTCCATACTTGTTTCCTTTATTTTATCATTTAATCTTTCATTGTCCTGACTTCTAACTTTCATCACTTGACTCTTTTCAGTGTTTACTTTAAAACTTACTTTTACACACACACAAGCTAAACAAATTGCATCAACTTTTTCAAATTTCTCATAAGTGCTGTTTTAAATGCACACCAACAATAACAATTCCTGTTGCAAATTTTCTTTTTTTTTTCTTCCACCCACTTTTCAATTTTCTTTTCTTCACTGATGCCTTCGTCCTATTGGATTCAAATTTCTAACTCTTAAGTACAGTAATGAAGACCAGGCTCTAGTAACAGCTGCTTGTGCCAGTTGTGGAGAGTTAGTCCGGTGTAACTCTCCATAGTGCAGTGCTTTATGGATGATGCATCTTATCACCAGGGCAGTTCTTATTTAGTTTAGTTTGTCTGTGGGCAAATTTGTCAATGCAATGAATATCTTTTAAAACTTAGTATCATTTGACACTTTTATCAAATTCGACTGTGTTAAAAAGCACAAAATAGTTTTTTTTGTACAGGATTGCAAAGAATTTTAAACTATTGCAACTCTGAATATAAAATAGAAAAAAGTAAAAAAAAAAAAAAGTAATTTTTTATAGCTTTTTAAATTTTGCTGAGTCGAGTGAAGCCTTAAGTACTGCACTTCACAGTGCCAGAACTGTCAGTCTGTCAGTTACAGTTTTATCATACCATCTGAAGTTTTCCTTTATAATTTTAAACCCTGGTCATTTGTTACTAGTGATGGTTCATAAAGCAGTTCAACAAATCAAATAAAACTTTATTTCAATAAAGTGGTGTACTGTACAGTATTCAATTATGGCAACTGACATGTATAAACTACTTTATAGGAAGCCCCTTGTTATGCAGAGCATTTTGGGAAGCCTTAAAACTAAGTTATTAAACAGTGAAAGACATAGTACATGAGAATAAGAATACAGTGGACCGTTGTATTACATGACTTATTTGCCATGTTTTGGTTATTGTACTTTTGAAAAATTGTGGCACAATTTTATGTAGCACTTCGTAAAATTAACTTAATACAGTTCGGTTTGGGAGGGAAAAAATTTGGAGCATCGCCCGTGGGATATTTCCTCAACTCAGGCCACTGCCTGGCTGTGGGTTAGACCATTGAGTCAACTGGGAAAACCTACCACCATCCCCTGCCACCCTTGTCCCAGCCTTTGGTTCACATACGCGTGTAGGACCATTCTCTTCTAGGAGCTAGCTGTGTTTGTGGGTTGTGTTTTGATCTTTTAATTACAATATCTTGTATCTGCCAAGCAGTCATGACACCCAGTAAGCATACAAATGTTCCTGAAAGTGACAAGAAAAGGTTTAAATGTTTAAGAGTTGGAGTTAAAAAGAAAATCAAAATATTAGACAAGCTTAGGAGTGGCTCCTTTTGGTGGACATAGCAAGAACCTATGACCTTAATGAAGCGTTGGTTCTTACAATTAAAAAAATGAGTTAATATACGAGCTTGTGTAATGAATAACCCGGGATGTTATCTCATGAAAAGAATGACATAAATTGCAACAAGTAAATAAAACAGAAAACTTTATTGCTTGAATGGATTGAACAAACAACAAAAAAAGGTGCACCAAAGAAAGGCTTTACAGTTGTTTAAATCAGTGTGTTATAGGGGGAAAGACAGAAAGCCTGGAAGAGTACAGTGGGGTCCCGCTTTATGGCATTTCGCCTCATGGCATTCCGCTAATTTGGGATTTCAAATTACGACCAAAACTATAGGGTTTCCCTGTCTTCTAATAGGCAAGTGCCAGGTTTGTTTACTCTTTCCTTGGGCACCCGCGTCTCTCCATTATTTTTTGGAAGCTTCCAAGATTCAAGTGTTTTAAAGTTATTTCATATTTTAAAACACATGGAACCTCTACTTGCGAGTTTAATCCGTTCCATGACCCTGCTCACAACTGGATTTGCTCGTTTGCAGATCAATCACCTTTACTCAAATTTTCAAGCAGAGGTATGCACTTTGCCTGGATTTTTTGGGTTATCTTAGGTAATTTTATACTACGTAATACTTGTATTTAAAATGTACCTGGGACAGAGATAGATAGAGAGAGAGAGACAGATTGAAAGTACAGAGACAGACAAAAAGGGAGATAGAGACACAGATAGACACAGATAGACACAGATAGACAGAGGTGGACAGACAAAGACAGAGATAGAGAGAGTAGAGGAAGACAGAATAGAGATACAGAGATAGACAGACCCTAAAATTGGGGGTTTAAAATCAAATTTCCCTTAAAAGAGGGGTGTTAATATGACATTACATCAGTGAATCCTTGGTGTTTGCTCACTGTTTGCTCTAGCTGGCTCTCAGTTTAACTGGCGCTCCCACAAGGTACTAAGTGGTCCCAGATTTTTTTAATGCGGGGCACACTGAGTGTTAGGACCCATTCTATGCTGGCAAGACATCTCTGGCCAATTGTGCCAAATTTGAAGGGCCAAAAAAAATAAACGTATATATATGTTTTGGGTGCTGGCGTAAGAACGTATATATACGTTTGGACTGTTTTAAACCCTTTGACCTGTCCCAGGCCCCTTTCTTAACCCTTTGACTGTCGAAGGGCCCAATCCTGAAGTTGCTCCTGGTGTCGCAAAATATTCGAAAAAAAAAAAATTATTTTTTCTTATGAAATGATAGAGAATCTTTTCCCGATTGTAAAGACACCAAAAAAACGAAATTTTGAGGGAAAACTGAGGGAATTACGCTCTCGCGAAGTTAGCGACTTGGGCATTTTTAAAAATCGGCATTTCCCCACTTTGACCCTATTTTGGGCTAATTCCGTTTTTCCCATCAAAAAACTCTAACTATTTCTTCAGAACTCTATTTTTTTCTATCGATTGAGCCAAGAAATGCCCTTTTTTACCATTAAACTACCCAATAAAGGTCAAAATTTGAAATTTGGGGCCAAATTTTAAAAGAAAATTAAAAAATACGACTTTCAAAATAAGGCCCAAAATAAACAATGCAGACTTTCCCTGCTCAAAATAAGATTTTTCTTTTTTCATCTCATGTCTCCATCCCTGTATTTTACCTTGCTTTTTATTTTAAAATTTTTATTCAAACAAAAATAGAAGATTACGTTATCAGACACTGCAATACTGTAATAAATTTTAAAATTACATCAACCCATCATGACTGCGTATTAAAATGGCTATTTGGGGCATTTATTGGACAATGAATCATTTTGTTCACTTTTGAACACGGCAAAAATCAAACATTTCCTGTACTTTGTGCTCCATTTCCAGGTTCTTTTATAGTAAAATTAATAAAAAATCACCTCCATTTCTATAATATATTTTCCATTCTATCAATGAGACCATGAAAACGAAAATACAACCACAAATACTATACGAAAATAGACCACAAAGTCGGCATTTTAATTAAAAAAAACGGTCGGAGTTTTTTTTTCTCATTATGCACTGCATGCTCCAGGATTTTTTTTATGTGGCACACTGACCACACAGACCCATTCTCTCACATGTGGGCCTACTAGCTTTCTCCTGCCTGATTTGAAGCCGCTAAAATTTTATGAGTATATATATACTCAAACACGGTACCTCACAAACGTATATATACGGCCGCGACAGTCAAAGGGTTAAACTATCATTCTATGTCGCAAAATATTCAAAAAAAAAAAAATTATTTTTCCTTATGAAAATGTTAAGATAATTTTTCTGAGTGTTTTAGTCCAAAAAAAAATTTTTGCCATCAGTACTTACCGAGATATAGAGCTGTGAAGTTTGCAGAAAATGAGCCACATATGGCAACAGCGGCGACTGCCGCTCACCGGTAAACTTTGGTTTACTTGTAATTTGGAGGTTTGTTGTTTTTTTCACTATTTTTTTTTCACCTAACTATGTGGCCTATGAGACAAAAGAAAGGTGCAATGTACATATATACACTCTTGTATACAACACAATAAGCACACAAACATAATTATCAATATATTGTTTACAAAACTTGTTTAAAAAAAACAAACAATAGAAAAAATTTTTTTATTACTATTGTTCTATAATTTTATATATACCAATGTACAGCCCACTGGACATATTCCTAAAGTTCTGCAGCTTGGGGAAACCCTTTTGAAACATGGTGTCATACACAATGGGTTTTACCCCTCCTCAAAACAAAAAACCCAGTGTGTGTACATTTTTGTGGACTTTTTTTTTTTTTATGTGCAAAGACAAAACACCTCGTCTGAGCAGTTTTCTTCAAAGTATTAGCAGGCAGTTGTGTTATGTAGTTATCCTAGGTAAATGGTTGTGTGTCATCATTCCTTCCTTCCTGCTTTCCTGCATTCCTTTCCTACCTCTCTTCCTACATTCCTTCATCTATCCTTCCTTCATTCCTGCCTTCCCTTCTTGCTTCTGGTTTCTATAATATATATACACATATATAGTCACTGAACATGCAAGATTTCAGGTACGTCTTGCTACTTCTACTTACACTTAGGTCACACTACACATACATGTA